AAAAAAGGATGAGTTCATGTCCTCTGCAGGGACATGGATGAAGCTGTAAACCATCATTCTCAGCAAATTAACACAAGAACAGAAAACCAAACACTTCATGTTCTCACTCATAAGTGGGAGTTGAACAATGAGAACACATGGACACAGGGAGAGAAACATCACACACAGGAGCCTGTCAGGGTTGGGGGGTTGAGGAGGGATAGCCTTGGGAGAAATACCTAATACAGATGATGGGGTGATGGATGCAGCAGACCACCATGGCACAGGTTTACCTATGTAACAAACCTGCATATTCTGCATGCATACCCCAGGACTTAAAAAAAAAAAAAAAAAAAGAAATCCTAAGTCAGTTCACAGAAAGTTTTCCCGCTCTTGACATCCAATCCAGCTCCTCTTCTCCCACCTTTAATGTCTAATCAAGTTCCTCTTCTTTCCAAGGAAAACTTTATCAAAGACTATTGAAACAGGAGTCAAGACCATTGTAATAGAGTAGAGAGATTAAATTCAATTCCAAATACAACAGGGACAAGTGAGAATTTATAGAAAATTACTAAGAACAATTTGGTTAGGTTTGAAGCTGCAAGCGGGGGTTGATTTCTTCGCTAAAACTGTGCTCAGCAGGCCAAAGATAAGTTCTGCTGAAAAACAGGACTCTTTGAGGAACCTGACTAAAGTTTAGCCAAGGAGGGAATGCTTGTCAATCTCAGAAACACTGAGCAGGGTTTAAAAAGACGCAAGTTGTAGCTAGGCACAATGGCTCACATCTGTAATCCCAGCACTTTGGGACGACAAGGCGGGCAGAAAAAAAAAAGAAGCAAGTTGAAAAAATGACATATACAGCATATTATCATTTAACTTAAATATTTTAAATTACAAGGCAATGTTGTGTTTTCCTTAGATACGCATGCATATGTATAAATGCATTTTAAAAAAAGGAGGAGGGCGGGGCATGGTGGCTCATGCCTGCAATCCCAGCACTTTGGGCAGCCAAGGAGGGCAGATCATTTGAGGTCAGGAGTTTGAGACTGGGCTGGCCAACATGGTGAAACCCCGTCTCTACTAAAAATACAAAAATTAGCCAGGGGTGGTGGTAGGCGCCTGGTATAATCCCAGCTACTTACAAAACTGAGGCAGAAGAATTGCTTGAGCCCGGGAGGTGCATGTTGCAGTGAACAGAAATCGTGCCATTGCACTCCAGCATGGACGACAGGAGGAAAAGATACACATAAAATGGTAACTGTGGTCCAGGCACATTGGCTCATGCCTGTAATCCCAGCACTTTGGGAGGTGAAGGCAGGTGGATCACCTGAGGTTAGGATTTCGAGACCAGCCTGACCAATATGGTGAAACTCCAACTCTACTAAAAATACAAAAAATTAGCCAGGCATGGTGCAGGTGCCTGTAATCCCAGCTACTTGGGAGGCTGAGGCAGGAGAATCGCTTAAACTGGGAGGTGGAGGTTGCAATGAGCCGAGATAGCACATTGCACTCCAACCTGGGCACAAAAGAGCAAGACTATCAAAAAACAAAAAAGAGGCTGGGTGCAGTAGCTCACACCTATAATCCCAGCACTTTGGGAGGCCGAGTCGGGTGGATCACCACTTTGTGGAGGCTGAGTTGGGAGGTCAGGAGTTCCAGGCCAACCTGGCCAACATGGTGAAACCCTGTCTCTACTAAAAATACAAAAAATTAGCCAGGCATGGTGTCGGGCGCCTGTAGTCCCAGCTCCTTGGGAGGCTGAGACAGAATTGCTTGAAGCTTGGAAGCAGAGATTGCAGTGAGTCGAGATCACACCACTCCACTCCAGCCTCGGCAACAACAGTGAAACTCTGTCTCAAAAAACAAAAAAACAAAAAAACAAACAAAAAAAAAAACTGGAAGCTGAACGTGGTGGCTCACACCTGTAATCCCAACACTTTGGGAGGCTGAGGCAGGTGGATCACGAGCTCAGGAGTTCGCGACCAGCCTGGCTAAGATGGTGAAACCCTGTCTCTACTAAAATTACAAAAATTAGTCAGGCGCGGTGACACGCACCTGTAATCCCAGCTATTTGGGAGGCTGAGGCAGGAGAATCGCTTCAGCCCGGGAGGCGGAGGTTGCAGTGAGCTGAGATCGTGCCATTGCACTCCAGCCTGGGTGACAGAGTGACACTCTGTCTCCAAAAAGGAAAAAAAATGAACTGGAATTGATAATGTTATCAATGATGATTTTACCCTTATTTCCTATGTTTTTATTTTCTATTGGAAGAAAGAATTCCTATATAATGTGTAATTACATAACACATATTAAAAACAAAACAAAAACTTATCACTGTTCTTGCCAGAATTTCCTCTCTAATACCCTTATGTACTTGGCCTGATCCAGGTAAGGTTCACAGAGATAAAGGGCCAGCAGGCTTAATTTTTGACCATCCATGATGACAAGACATTCAGAATTCTTTCACCATCACCACCATTCCTCTATACATTCCCCAGCTCATTTCCATGGTCCTACGACAAAATACTCACTGGTGGAAAGAGTGAGGATCATCCACATCGTGGCCATCGGGGGCCAAAGGGTTGGAGAACGGCTCACCTGACAAAAAAAATTGAGGTTAATTTAATCAGTCTCTTATGTGCCAGATCCTGTGCAAAAATTTGGGATATAGTAGTGAACAATATACAGAACAAGAGGAAGAACAGCGGCAGTGACAACACAAGGTAATAAGTGCTGAAATGGGAAACTACAAGAAGCTGTGGGAGCACAAAGCAGAGGACCCTAAACATAAGCTGCACGATCAGAGACTTCCTGAAGATCACGTCTAAAATACTACGTAAGAGATTATACGCGCAACCCAGGATTAAGTACTGGGACAGGATTTGGGGAAAGCCAACCACAGACAAAAGCCGCCCATCATCACTTGGCAGTAGGAAGGAGGCTTGGTTACGGAGTTTGGAGCTGTCCGGCCTCACTTGGGGCCCTACGGCTTCGTGGGGCTCAAGCGTCACACATACACACACAGCCGGCTCAAGCTCAGAAGCTACAATAATTCGCCATGAGAAATAACGGATGGCGTGAACCTTACTATCTCGCTCCGGCATTTTGTTCGCGGTCTTCCAACGTCACCAACGATCGAGTCTCCAACAGCAACACCGCAGTGCCAAGCCTTTTCCCACAGTGCACTTCAGAATCAACCCACACTGCTTTGCGGTCTCAACCCTTCCGCTTCCTGTTTTTGCCTCTGACCAACCCTGCGCGCAAAGAAATTGGTCTCGCAGCGGTCCTACAATACTTGTATATCATTGGCTAAGCTTTACCCCGCCCCTGCGTCATCCAGCCTTCGGCCTAGGCTGGAGGGTCCACGATTGGTCCAACCGGAGAACTTGGCCGGAAGACCTGGCACTTGGGACTTCGGCATTACCCAAGATGGCGGCGGCCGCAGCGAGTCGAGGACTCGGGGCAAAGCTGGCCCTGCGAGAGATTCGCATCCACTTATGTCAGCGATCGCCCGGCAGCCAGGGCGTCAGGTGAGGCGCGGCGTGGTGAGGCGGGCGGGCTTGGGGAGCCGGGGTCACGACC